GTGGTCCAGGGGATGGAAAGTCAAGAGACAAGGGAGGATCGAAGCCGTATGGATGTAAAAGAAGGTGTGCAGCGCAAGACAACAACTATGCAGTATACGCGACGATGGGAGACAAACATGCCACGGGCAGCAAGATCACCATTGTCGAGAAAAACTATAATTGGAAAAATTGAACCCATCATTTACATATGGATCTTAGGCTTGCATGCTTTCTTTTAGTGACCTTGCTACCTAAATGCCGAAAGACGTAGACACAGACGTATAAGTTGGTAAAAAAAAGTTTAGGAATCCTGCCTGGCTGGCCAAGCTMCAAGCGAAACTATAAACGATATTTCTGCTCTTGGTGCTCGTTACCTTGAACTAGTAGATGTATGCATAATAATTTGTATAATAATTTTTGCCGYAACTGTGATTCATTCCCGGTAATATTCGCAATGAATTGATAGATACAAATGTAGTTATCGTTCAGTACAGCGGGCTTTATGCATTCCAACCGGTTATCTGATCCTCTAGAGTATAATAGATTAAGTAGATGTTGACAACCAAAGCATKTACTTTCAGGTACTCAGAGTGTAATGGACGAGAAATAAGAAAGACTGGAAGTCGAAGAAGGAATAAATATTGTCTYTGTAGTAGTTTTCTGTAGTATAGTTATAGATCTGACCACAGTCTGTACCGTACAGAACTACTTACTACCTATCTACTACTGGATATGTTTTTATTGAAATCAATTTAAGTACAGCTGCACAATAAGACATTCAGTGGTCCACAGGCAGCCCAAACAAGGTTCCTGTGTATGGCTTATGGCTTATAAGGGAATGTATGGGAGTTATGATGAAAATAACAATGAAATGTTTCACTCAGCAACTTCCTTCAAAAATTGCTGCAATCGTTGCTTGAACGCCTTATTCAGTCTTCTGGCGAAGTTTCAAATCGCGCTGAAACTTCACCAGAAGACTGAACAAKGCGCTCAAGCAATGGACTGAAGCAAGTTTTGACGGAAATCGTACATTGCCTCATAAACCATACACAGAAACATTGTTTGGGATGCCTGTGAATGGTAAGAATATTCATTCAGGTAACGTAACACATACCAAGAGGACTTGACCCATACAGAATTAAGCCCTAAGACTTAKTTAGTGTAAACACTAAATACAGTTATTTTATTGCTTGCTTTTCTGCAAGCGCATAATGCGCTCTCTTCCGATTTGCTGATGTTTTCATATGTTTTTCAAAAAAATGTGAGCAAACAGCGTAGAGCAAGGGAGCACGCCAGAATGGTTTCTGTCTATTTTTGGCGCGCATCGCTTTTGTATTTTTTAGTTGCCATCTTGGAATGTTCAGGGGATAACCGCTGGTAAATAAACTTGCGGGCGCTCCTATCCCCGATCGAGTCCCGTCAACACTTACCACATAATGATAATAATAATGATAACAATGATAATGATAATAATGATAATGATAATAATGATAATGATAATAATAATAATAATATGCTATGCATATAATATGCTATGCTAATATGCTATGCTATGCAAGACATGGGGCTTCAGTGGAATTCAAAGAAATGCAGCGTCATCTATGTACGAAGGGGCAAACAAGTTGAAGATGCTAAAGATCTCAAGCTCGACGAGACATCAGTGGTTAAGAAACTAGAGTGGGGAGCCAGCTACGAGTTCCTAGGGATTAAAGAGTCCATTTTACAAGACGAGAAGCAAGTACTTACAGAAGCAGCAAAGGAGTATTTGAGTAGGCTATCTGTGATCTGGACAAGCCCACTATCTGATTATAATCGCGTCCTTGCTACCAACCAGTTTGCACTTCCGGTGCTCACATATCCTATGTGGACCCAGCACTGGCCACTTGCTGAGCTANAAATTAAATTGCTTATAAAAATGACATACTATAAAATGATTTAAGGATCTCCGAATTTCTAAAAAATGTTTTTAAAAAAAGAATTTAAAATTATTTAAAGAATCAATTTGACTAAGACCTAAAGGAAAGCTATTCCAAAGTTGAGATGTTGTTACGCTAAAAGACCTCCCCCTCTAACTTCCGTTTAAAACAATGACATACAAAATTATATTGTAAGTACAGTACCTAGTTGTGCGCGAATGCACATCGCAATTACGTTTTAATAAGCTGCCGATGTAGGTKGGTACATTGGCCTTTAACCTCTTGAAATCTATGATGGATCTATGTATTTTAGCCTCTTCATAAAAAGGTAGCCACATTAATCTATCAAATAAAGTTACTAAAGAGGACGGGGCCCGGTGTACGAAGCCTGGATAGCGCTATYCGACGGATAAATCTTATCCAGTGGAAAATGATTTATTTGATAACAGCATCAACTTATCCACTGGATAAGAATTTATCCATTGGATAGCGCTATCCAGGCTTCGTACAACCGGGCCCTGGTGGTGGTCAACGCTTCGTGTGCTGCTCTTCCCGTGTCCCCTCAGTGTTCAATCATACGTTTTCTATGACGAAACTGTSTCCAGGCTCTTTTTCACCAAAATTGATGAATATAGGAAAAGGCCTGGGARTAAGAAAGTTTGGCATTGACTCAATATTTAGTGATTTCTTGGAAAACACCGACGAGCGGAAATAACGCAGTTACTAGGGGGAAAGTTTATTTTTAGAGCTTTGAACTATGGAAAAACYAGGAGAAGTCGCTTCAAACGTAGTTTCTTCAATTGCACCTAATTCAGAAAAGCTCAGTTTAGTCTCGCAGGCGCTTGACTTGTTGGAATCCAAGCAGGGAACATTCTTGGGATTGTTYGATGAAGGCGGTGGAAGACGCAACGAAATGAGTATKGTTAACGGTACCAGCCACGCTGTACTACTCGTTGAATGGTATCTTGAATGGGGCTACGTAAAAGTTCCTCCTCAACCTTACCTTGATTCCATGAGTCGAGATGAAGCGTTGTTCCATAATGCTGGCAGCTGGGCCTGTACTGGATCTAGTGGTATCGTTACCTACCAATTGGAACACCAAACCAACTTGCACATTCTCTGGGAGTGTCCTTATAACTTCGATTTTGATGACAACTTCATTGGATTGATGTTAACCTCTAAATTCAAGAAACCAAACAAGTACCTTTTCGAAGGCATGTTTAAAGACTGGGGTAAGATAGGAATGAGTCCCAGTTATGGCAGCAGCTTTGACCTGGTTTGTTGTGGTCCAGGGGATGGAAAGTCAAGAGACAARGGAGGATCGAAGCCGTATGGATGTAAAAGAAAGTGTGCCGTGCAAGATAACAAYTACGCAGTCTACGCAGCGATGGGAGACAGACATGCCACGTACAGCAAGATCACCATTGTCGAGAAAAACTATAATTGGAAAWATTRAACATTATTCACAAATGACATCTTAGGATATAGTGTCCTTTCTTTTAGTGACTTTGCTTCCTAARTAAACAATCACAGCAATTAATTGTTTCAGTAGTGAACTCTGCTTCAGCATCATGTCAATGTACCAGTAGACATTCATTAGTTTTACGCATGTATTAATATTTTGAAAACAAATTTGCCTTTACTGTGATTATCCCCGATAATACTGATTGATGGATACAAATTTGATAGATATATTAAAGGTAGCCTGTTGACAAGCACAATCTGTACTTCCGTGTACTCGGGTGTATAGTAATAGACGAGAAAAACAATTCCAGAAACTGCATGGAGTGGGAATTAGCGGATAGGGAAATTAAAATCTAGAATGTCTCACTGAGTTTTTAACTTGTGGATACGCGAAGCGTAGAAACAAGTTAGTGTGAGGGGTCTTAATATACAATAGTRTCACTCACTCGCTCGCTAAGAAGCTAGCAGATCGATAAGTGAACGTTTACCAATCGTCTTACGTCATCTGCTTACGATTTCGGACTTCGTAAAACACGAAGCCACGTAAAACATAAAGGCTTGAATAATTATTTATTTCAAGAACTGAAATTTCACTTTTCGATGGAAAAAAGCACTCTTGCTTCAGTACATATTCAAAAASCTAAAGCCAGTTCGTCTTTTGGAGGAATTTATTTTCCATAGACAAAATTTCAGAAAGTCACACCTACAATAACCAAAATAAGTGATAAGCGATCAAATCCGTCTATCACAAAAATGCGAAAATTGGGAAGTTCTGAGGCGTCGATGCARTAGCGTAGCGAGGGGGGRCACGTTTTGAAAAAAGAATAACAACAAAAAAAACATATTAAACCGAAACGAAAGAGGAAAATAAATTATTACAACCTACAAAAGTGCGAATTTATACGAAGTTATCCGGACGGGCTACCTGTGCACTGCGAACCCGGTCARAGCCTGRAATCTGCACGTGGGAATTTGAAATTTTTTCTTATTTTGGATCAGTGCCCCCCCAGCTCCTAGGTCCTCGCTACGCCCCTGCGTCGATGTATTACAGGATTCGCTTCAAATGTCAATAAAATAACAAAGAACCAAACAAAGTACAAATTSGAAGCAAAATATAAGGTCGATTACCCGATTTAGCATTTAATCGAGCAGATTACTTTGACATCTGTTAAATTAAGTAAGTCAACAAAATGCGCGGYAGAAAGGGCACAGGGTAGTATGCRCAAGTTCAACAAAAGCTGTTTGATTAAATGTAACGTTACGTTACTCGATCGGGTCACTTGTTGTTTCTGCAACCTTTCCACTTGATACATTATCTGTATTTCGTAAGTTTAAATTTTTTCGTGGGAAAAAAAACTTTAGCTAAACCTTAAAAGTCTTTGATTAAAAAAAAGTTAAGTGTGTCCGTCTGCTTTGGTGCTTTAACTACAAAACTGTATCTGAAGATAATCAGTCAATGTCATTAACGTTGTCCACCGAAAAAAGATACATTTACACATTTACACATTTGGACTAAAAGAAATATCACGTGTTTTCTCGAACGTTCTGGCATAAAACAACCGCTGAAATACCATTCTCTATCTTAAATCCTCACTAAATGGTCGGGGAATTCTGGGTTTTCGATTCAAGAGTTGAGTTTTACTTTTGAAGCTCAGACTGACGCACACGAGGCAAAGAATAYATAATGAAACATTTATTTCTAAATGTCTAGATGTCTAAATGTGGAAATGTCTAAATTGTTAAATGTCTATTAAATGTCTTTTTTCGGTGAACAACGTTAATGACATCGACTGTGTATATTTACATATATAATTATTCATTGTGCATTGATTACAAAAATAGCACGACAAAAAAAGGCCTTAGCACGCTTGGTCTGGTTTTAACCGCATAACTTAACATAACTTAATTACAGGACCATTTCGACCCCCTCGTAAAAAAATATTCATTGCACAAGTAAATAAAAAAAGGACCACCTTTTTTAAAGACCGGATGCGCACTGTCCATTTGATTGCTACGGCAGTACAAAATCGATCAGTGCAACGTCAGTTATGGCGCGCTAAACTAGATAAAACTACTTCCGGATGCGCACTGTCCATTTGATTGCTACGGCCGTACAAAATCGATCAGTGCAACGTCAGTTATGGCGCGCTAAACTATACAAGACTACTTCCATGTATAATTGTAAGACTGCTGTCAGTTCGCCATATGATATGTTTGGTCACCTGATTCCGCAGGTATAAAGTGAATGTTACCATGGTTACTAGTATATTGCGGAAAAACTGGTGCGACTCTAACGACTGCAGCAGTCTTTGTAGCGCCATGGCAGGAACTATTGATTTCCAAACTGCGTTAGACGTTGCTTCGTCGATAATACCAGATACAGGGAAAGTGAATCAAGTAAGAGATGCCATAGCTTCCCTTGATGCTCAAGGTGGTGCTCAGGTGGGGAATCTGTTTGGTTTGTTCGCTGAAGGAGGCGGAAGACGAAATGCGATGAGTATCTGCAATGGTACAGACCACGACATCCAACTTGTTAAATGGTATCTTCATCATGGTCACAACAGAGTTCCTGCTACCCCATATTTGCTTTCCATGAGGCAGGATGACTCTCTGTTCCATAATGCTGGCAGCTGGGCTGCTACTGGATCTAGTGGTATCGTTACCTACATGTTGGACTGCCAAACAAACTTGCACATTTTCTGGGAATGTCCTTACAACTTCGATCTTCATGATAACTATATTGGGCTGATGTTAACTGCGGAAGAGCATCTTAAGAAGCCAAACAAGCACTTGTTTCTGGGCATGTTCGAAGACTGGTATAGYATGGGTAAAACGGCACCTAGAGCTGGAAGCACGTATGATCTTGTTTGTTGTGGTCCAGGTAATGGCGGATCCAAAGATGATGGTGGCTCCAAGCCTCATGGCTATCACAGGCCTTGCGAGGTGAGAGATGGTCATTACACAGTGTTTGCAACAATGGGAGACAGGCACGCTACGAACAGCAAGATAGTCATCCTAAGCAAGGACACCGAGTAAGAACTAGACTCATTCCAGTTTTCGTTTTTACGCGGATTCCTCTAAAACACTATTGATATTCACCGCTTCTAAACCTCGTTACATGTAACGCTCAAACGCTCAAAATTTCATCGATACCCTAGAACCAGAAGTCCGTAACTTCTGCCTAAAATAACCTCAAAGCTATCAGTTGTTTTTATAATGTATGAGAGTTAGGTAAATATTAATGCGCAATCGTTCGATCGAGTCTACGTTGTTAGAACCTTTTTTGTCTTTGCGTCATTTCCATAACGAAAATGTACGACGGCGACGTCTACCAAAAGTGTAAATAGACTTCCTTCTAGGGTTGCGCGCCCTCAAAGTCTGTCTTCCCTCAGAATGAGTTGAGTTTTACTTATAARTGTTTTGAATGAAATCGCCATTCAACAGTACAAAGAGAAATTATTTTCCTTTACGGTCGACGTCGCCGTCGTAGACAGGAATCAGTGTATTCAAAGAGAAGTGTTATTAGTGATGAAGCGGTTAAAAAAGCCGAAAACGATTTGGGAAACTTCACAAAGAAGTCTAGCTTTTACTGAAACTGAAGCATAATAATGATAATAATAATTGTGCATTTATATAGCGCTTATCCAAATTAATGCATCTACTTCCTTATTGAACAAATAGTTGTATATGGACCTCATGCACGTACGAAACCGTGTTGTTGTTGTTTAATTATGTTTAAGGTATTTCGTTGTTTTTTATCTTGATAATAAAAAGCAATAGGGGAAGATTTCACCCTGAAAGCAATGAATACTACCCTTAAGGCGTCATTTACACGGAGAAATGTTCTCTGTACTTTGGGCAAAAGTTGCAGGAGTGTTTACACGGTGTAACGGAGATGCAATCGTTTGAAAATAAAACGTTTTGGACTAAGCCGAAAATACAGCGATAAATTTGTAAGGGGTAATTATATATTCAAATGACCACATCTCAGTAAACGGGTTTTTTAAATTGTCTATCTAAATTGTTAACCAAAAATATGATTAAGATAAAATTATTTTTTGTGAAGTCATCGCTTGAGTACTCTATTTGAAAACCCGGAAAGCATGTTGTTTGCTGTAATCAAGGCAAGACGGGGTCTAAAGATGAGGGATTGATTAATTAAAATTAATGATAGCAAGCGTGACCTGTTTGTTTTCAATAGCGCAGCGCACTGATCCTAAAAATAGCTTAAAGATTCGGACAAACATTGCATTCTGTTTAGCCGCTACGAGGATTGTACGAACCGATTTTATTATTTTTACTTAAAGTTACAATAATAAACCATGTAAACTAAGATCAACTGCGATCGGATGTGAAAATTATCTACTGAAAGTAAACTTGTAAGTTTGTTTGTCCGAATTTAATCTTTGTATTCGTTTTAATGACGTCACGTCTGCGCTGCGCTATTAGATGTATGTGAGGGCCTGGGCCTTGTCACGTACTCCATATTGTCACGCCAGTATCAAATCAAAATGGCTTTGTCCCTCGTGTTCTTCTCTGTATTTTTTCTAGCTTTCAATGTTCAATATCTTCTAATAACTGCAGCATCTCATACAGAGATGGTTAAGCTATCTGGTGGTAGGTTTAAGATGGGTACTGATGCAAAAGACGGCAAAGATGGCGAAGGACCATCAAAGATGGTTAAAGTCAAGTCATTTTTGATTGATAAATTCCCTGTCACAAACGAAAACTTTAGAAAATTTGTACGAGAAAAGAATTATAAAAGTGAAGCTGAAAAGTTTGGATGGAGTTTTGCATTTTTTTCTGCTGTTCCTGCGAAGACTCTTTCCAAGATTAAGCAGTCAGTTCAGGTATAGTTTGAAAAGCTTTTATTTTGAGACTAATTGTATCTTTTTAGGATGCTCTGTGATGCCTTTCTAGGTAAAAGTCACCTAGCAATTGTTCAGGATGTGCCACTGCTGCCCATCCCCTGCAACGTTATAAATAAACAGTCCCTTGTCAATTAATTCTCATGTGGGGAGGGAAGGATAAGTGAGAGAGGCCAGGTGGGAGAGGGTGTGAGGACAAGGAAGGCTACAGGATAAGTTCCAGATATAAGCGTTGTTTGATCATGTTTTATGTTGTTCAACAGGGTGCTCCATGGTGGATACCAGTCAACAGAGCTTTTTGGAGGCAGGTAAACAGAAATAGTACATTATTGCTAAAATATGATTCATAGTCATGCTATATTTATGTTGCGCTAGGCTTACGGCGAATGTTGAAGAGCAAGCTAAACAACTTGTCGCGGCAAGCTCAGTGTGCGGGGGAGCTTTA